TCGAGCTACAAGGTCATTACTAGTGTATTTTAACAGGTATCCCCTCGTCTGGCCACTAGGATACAATTAACACAATATTATTAGTGTAACAACTAAGCTGTTAGCTCTGAAGTATCAATCAATAATTTCTCATACTAAATTCTATGTAATTTGATTTGTTGGTATCTTTTCACTATTTTATGTTTTCCATTTTACACATTCTACAATCTTTAAACCTTCTCATATTCATTACAGATGCAATCACTATTCATTCTGAAATAGAAATATAATTTTTATAAATAATTTCCAATTCTTCAATACTTTTTTTAATTGGTTGACTGAATTTTTTATTGGTTAGTATCAAAACAAATGTAAAGTGAAAGCAATCTGTCAGTGAATTTCTTGCAAACATTTCATCTTTATAGAGTATTAGATTCAAATTTATAAAATCTTCTCATCACTCTTCAATTGTCAATTTATTTAATGATATTGATTCACAAAATTTATATATTTTATTCTCTTTTTATATTTCAGAATATAATATTCAGAATATTGTCTGTTTCATTAATGTTTATACTGTAATGCACTCGTTTATTATTTCCTTATTATTATATTATCTTTGTTTATATCTTCGTCTATTCTTACCTCTTTCCATTATACTCTCGCTACCGCTATTTCTATATGTATATATATATGGATGTATGTATTTCGCACATCTTCGTTCTCTTTCTTTTCCTCCTTAGCGATTAGCTACAACTACAACTTTAATTACACTACTACTATAATTATTATTACTATTATCTTCCACTACACTATATACTATCTTCTACTATTCACTCTTCACACTGTCATCACCCCTCATATATACAAAGATGCAAATATTAAAGAATTCATTTATCAATTCATAAAATTGATATTTAATTATTTTTATAGAAATTAAAATATTTCTTAAACAGATTATTTATATAAAAGTATATAAATCTTCAACAATTAAAGATTATTGAAATAAAAATAATGTTCAAGAATCAATTCATTTATTAAAATTTCATATGAAATAAAAATAATTTAAGTAATTTGAAAAATATATTCATATATTCAATTTTTACAAATCAAAATTCTTCTTTTCTTTTATACAAAAATTAAAGTCTTTATACTTCAACTTTCATACAACATATCAAAAACACTACAACTCAAATTCAAATATTTTTATTGATGAAATAATGATTCAATTTTTTAAATGATTTAAATACATAGTTAAAATACCTCAAAAATTAATCAAATAAAAATATAAGATTTTTAAAACTTTGAATTATTTATTTATATTTTTTATAATATTCTATATATTATGTTTCAAAATGAAGTTTTTTGTTTTGAATGAAAAGATAATAATATAATATTACTATTGTCTATAATTCATTTATCAGACAGTTTTGTTGAATGTGTTAGAAAATATTCAGAATTGATCTCTATTAATAAATCTCAAATTTAAAAAATATTTAAAGATAATTAATAAAAAGCAATGAAGATTTTTATTATTATTAATAATTACAATTATAATATGAATGAGATTGATCTAGCAAATCAGTATTATCTCCTCGTCTGAAAGCGAGGCACAATTAGCGCGGTTTTTTAGCGCGTATTTTAGCGTGTTAAATACATAAAAACTACTGAATTATAAGAGAGATCGGTTGTATTGATGTGTTTTAGTGTAATTTATGTAATCTATTTGATCTAACTCTAATTAATTATTAGAATAGAATTTTTACCAACACTGGCTTTTCAGATAAAGAGGAATATTATTACATACAGCATAATCATATTTTAATTTTGAAGCTCTATTTTTATTCTGCTTTGTTCTCTTTTTTTTATACTGACATCAGACACAAGTTTGAGATTTTGACAGAGGAATTTGATGATGATTAAAATCTGAATTTGATTGAATTGAGGATAGAAAACTTGAGAATTCAAAGAGATAAAGATAAAGTTGTTGATGAAATTGAGTATGAGATAGAGCAATGTCAGTGTCAATGTTAGCAATAATGTCAGTAGTAGTCAATCTATGAAGAATATAAGCATTGACAATAGCATGATCAATAATTCAGTATAGAATTGCCAACCACATGTGATTGATGGGCATATGAGTCTCATAGAGAGCTCTATACTAATTTGCTAGATCAATCCCATTTATATAATGATTATAATCATCAATAATAATAGAAATCTTCATAGTTTGTTCAAATTTATCATTAAATAGACTGTAAGCAGCGATGTTGGAAATGGCTGCTTATATTTCGGTTGGTCCTTAGGACTCTACGAGGATCAAGCAGTAGGAGATAATACGGTGATATATCGGAGAGGATTCAGATCAAGTAGTTAGATATTGAGGGTGTAGAACGTAGGGGTCAGATTATAACAGAATGATCCGCTGGTCCCTAAAAGGTTGGACCAGCTGCTAGCTATATACACACAGTATTGTAAGCAGATCGAACTTGCTATGATGTAGATGGCGTAGTATGATGCAAGTGGCAAGATAATGCCTTGATTTCAAACTTGATATGACGTTGGTGGTGTTATGTTCGGCGATGTCATATCTTTAAGGCTATCGCTAATTCCGGCCTAGCACTGGCACCTTAGTGCGGGTTTCTTACATAAACATTGAATCTGCAAGTTATTGATGAAATTGATTTTAAAACATTTCTGAATACATTCAACGAAGCTGTCTGACTTATGAATTGTAGATAGTAGTAAAACCACATTATTATCCTTTCATACAAGACAAAAAACTTCATTTTAAGAGATAATATATAGAGTATTGAAGAAAATATGAGCAGATAATTCAGAGTTCTTTAATTCTTGTAAAAAAAGTGATAAATTGACAGAACAGATGATTTCACAAGTTTTAATTTCTTTCTTTTAAAGATAATGAAATAAAGCAACAGAGGTGAAGTAATTGTTCATATAAATTTAATAATTAGTAATTTCTTTAGTAGTATTCAACTCAAAGTGCTGCTCAGAGCTCTGCAAGAATACTGACAGCTGTTCAATTAATTTCATTATAAAAAATTCAATTTTGATTAATTCTGAAGTTCAGAACATTGTACTCATGCAGAGATTATTATGAGACATGAAAAAAATTTAAAAATAGCTCTGTTCTTTTAATTTAAAGATTTTATATTTCTGTTTGATTGATTTCTGAGATATCTTGACTGTGTATTTTGATCAGCTGAAGAATTAAATCATCATCTCATCAATGAAGAAATTGAAATTAAAAGTATAGTATCTTTAATATACTGTATGAAAGTTGAAGTATAGAGGCTCTAGCATCTGAATGAAAGAGGATTTCAGTCTGCAAGAAATAAATATGTGGAGATATCTCTTAATCTGCTCAAATTTATACTGTTTTATGTGAAATCTTGATAAATGAAGTGGTCTCTGAGCATCATTCTTATTTCAATAATCTTCAACTGTTGAAGATTTATGTATTTTTATATAGATAATCTGCTCAAAAAATATCTTGATTTTTATAAAAGTAGTTGACTGTCAATTCTGTGAATTGAGAGTTGAATTCTTTAAGATTTATATCTCTATATAAGCATTGATGAAGTTTGTAATATTTTGAATATCTGCCTCTGAGATATAGAGAGAGAATAAAGTATATGAGCTCTGTGAATCAATATTATTGAGCAGATTGACAGCTGACAGATGATGAAGAGCTTTCATAGAATTGAATTTAATATCTTTCAGAAATGAAATATTTGTTATAATTTCATTTAGAAATCATTTTCATTTCTCACTCTTTTTTATACTGTTTAATAAATAATTAGTAGATATTATTTGAAGAAGTATTAGAGAATTGAAAATACCTTTGAATGTCATAATTTCTGCAAAGTGTAGATGGGTAGAAAGGTGAATTCTCACAGCAGAAAGGTTGGAAGATGAAGTGCAGCAATGTGTTGAGAGAAAACATGAGATAATGAATCTGTATCAGCAAATAGAATTGCATATATTTTAATATGAGAAATTATTAGTTTGTACTTCTGAACTAATAGTTTAGTTATTACACTAATGGTATTGCGCTAATTGTGCCTCGCCCTCAGACGAGGAGATAGAGTTTTTTATAAAATTTATAACTTATCAATCACATTTAATTATCAATTAATTCTATATTGAATTATCAATCATGTTATTGTCAATGTTTATATCCTTCATTGATTGATTATTACTGACATTATTGACATTATTGATATTATTGATATTACTGACATTACTATATCTCATATTGAATTCTGCTGACAGCTTTATCATCAATTTTTTAAATCTTTAAATTCTCTATTTACTACTCAATTAAATCTGAATTTAAATCATCAGTGAATTTCTCTATCATCTTTTCAAATTTGTATCTGATGTCAGTATAAAAGAAAGAAAGAAGAAGAGAATAAAGAAAGAACTTCAAAATCAAAATATGATTGTACAGTATATAGCAATGTTGCTCTCTGCTTGAAAAGAGAATGTTGAAAGAAGTTCCATTCTAATAATATTAATTAAAGCTAGATCAAATAGATTACATAAATTACACTAAAACACATCAATACAGTTGATGCCTCATATTATCCAGTAGTTTCCATGTATTTAATACACTAATGTACACACTAAAAAATGTGCTAATTGTGTCCTAGCGGCCAGACGAGGGGATAGTTGTCGTAATTTAAAAGTTAGTTGATTGCAAAATACAAGACCCCATATTTTTGAATCACCACTTCATGATAAAGATAAATCCAAAAAGACTAAAAAATTAAGACTCTGAAATCGTATCGATAATAACATCAAATGTAAAAAGCAAACTCGTCTCCTCTGAGCGCATGAAACATCCCTTCCAGAAGCTCTGCAGCTTCGTACAACACTCTGCGCGAAATGCCATCATCATAGGACCGCCAATCCACCTCCAACCCTCCTGTCGGAGCCCATTTCTTTTTTTAAGATCGAAGAGCCCGTTCTCATCCTCCACGCCCAATTCCGCAAAAATGATTTTACCTGAGCACGGGACACAACCAGACTACTCCACCTGGAGCCAGTCCAGTCTCATATCCCGCATCACTGAGCTGGAGCGCCAGTTAAACTCCCACGACCATCACAGCAGGTTCGACGGCAGCGCAGATACAGACGCAATCAAAGGGCGTATCAAGGCTGCAGCAAGCCCCACTGCTTCCCGTTTCCCTTCTGTGTCGTCCTCTTCCCCCCGCCGCCGCACCAAGAAAGGCCGCGACATCGATCCCTCAAAATACAACACACGCTTCATCGCGCTGAAATTCGCCTATCTGGGTCAAAGATATAATGGTTACGAGCATGCCAATGGGAATACCACGCCTTTACCGACAATTGAGGAGGAGTTGTGGAAGGCGTTGAGAAAAGCGCGGTTGATATTTCCGCAGGCGGTTGAGGCGGATGGTGGTGAAGGGGTGGTTGGAGACGGGGAGAGTCAGGGGAGGGAAGAGCGATCGTACAAAATTGATTGGACAGGCTGTCAGTATTCGAAATGCGGGAGGACGGATAGAGGGGTTAGTGCGTTCGGTCAGGTTATTGGGATAAGGGTAAGGAGTGCGCGGCCCCATAAAAAAGCTGCGGAGGGGAGTACTGGTAATGGCAATGGTGCTGGCAATATAGTATCTAGTACGGAGCCTTCCACTGCTACTTCTACTGATGCCTACAATAGCGGAGTGGAAAATCTTCTCGGTGGGCTATCGCTTTCTGGTTCAGAGAACTCTGAGACCGAAGATAGCTGGGATGACATTGCTGATGAGTTGCCTTATATAACTATTTTGAACAGAGTATTACCGGAGGATATTCGCGTGCTAGCATGGTGTCCGAACCCCCCACCGGATTTTGATGCCAGATTCTCCTGCCGTGAGCGCCGGTATCGCTATTTTTTTACACAGCCAGCGTTCTCTCCAACGCCCGGTCCATTGGGCTTCCTAAAACGTGGGCGTGAGGAGAATTGCCTGGGGGAGGGTAGCGGCGCCCCACACAATGAGCAATTTAGAGAGGGATGGTTGGATATCGAAGCAATGCGTAAGGGGGCGAAATATCTTATCGGATCCCACGACTTTCGAAATTTCTGCAAAGTTGATCCGAGCAAACAGATAACGAACCACGTGCGTCATATTTATCATGCCGATATCGAGCTGCTCGATCCCAAAACCAAGCCCTTGTCATATTTGAGGCAACATGAATTCACCACTTTCGATACCGAAAATGACAAAGCAGCTGCAAATGGGTCGATAGGTGACCCGTCATCCAATCTTAAAGTATACTCCATTACGATTCATGGATCTGCTTTCCTCTGGCACCAGGTCCGACATCTAGCCGCGATACTATTCTTGGTAGGTCAGGGACTCGAGGCCCCATCGATCATACCGGAGCTATTAGATGTGGAGAAACATCCCCGAAGGCCAACATACGAGATCGCCTCTGACACACCGCTGGTTCTCTGGGATTGCATATTCCCTGATGAAAGCAGTGGAAGCAGGGAAGACGCAATGGATTGGGTCTACGCGGGTGATTCACGGACATCGAAAGTTGGCAAGGGAGATAACAACAAATTTGGCCTAGGAAGTACGGTTGATTCCCTCTGGCGTGTGTGGCGACAGCGGAAGATAGACGAGATATTGGCCGGTGAACTTCTCGATCTTGCGGTGAGCCAAGGAGATAGAAGCGCTCTGACTCGAGGTGGGTTCAACGACTCTACTCGCGACCTGCAGAATAGAAGTCAGAAAGTGTTTTATGGAGGTAACGAGGGGAAATTTGGTGGGAAATACGTGCCCTTGATGCAGAGGCGTAGATTGGACCCGGTGGAGGTGATCAATGCGAGATACACGAAAAGACCAGGGAAGAAACCTACTGCATAGTGCGAAGAATGGAGCATCTCTAACAGCGAGACCGTATCATACCGTCCGCTCACACACTATTCCAACATCACTAATAAATCTCCTTTTCATTGGCATTCGACTATCAAGTTTGAGTTACCATGTTCGACCAAACACTAGAAGAAAATGTAGAATGAGTGTACGAGTCAGGCATTAGTTTAGGTCGTAAAGGCATTTTCTGGCTCCTTTCCACACAGCTTCAAGAATAGATCGTCGGGGCAATAGATTCTGTTGGTTTTTAGTATTCGCCAGAGTCTCCTGAATAGACCGGAAAGTGGGTACATGCGGAATGGATATGAGGACCTACCGGGAATACCACAACTACGTTTGACTCCCCTTCCACAATGATAGCGAGATAGAACTTCACTTCGAAGCCCTTGAAGGCTTCATGGATTACAATATCTTGTATTTGTGTGGTAGGGATAAATCGAGTTGAGGCTTTTGAGAGGTAAGTAGCGGAGGATGTGGAGGTTTGAACTCCCAGTCCACGTATGACCAGTAACGATTCCTCTGTTCCATGACAGTGCGAATCAGCCATTTACATCATACACGTGAACAGCCGGAGCAATATACGTAAATAGAAATTTTTCTCTCCTTGCCAGATATCTTGAAAGGTAGTAAATAACAAGGAGAACTAACCGGTATACCCCCTTCGAAAAATGATATACACCAGCGCCGCACTCACCGGACAGGTAAACTGCCAACCCTGCCGATCCGCCATGCGACAAGCGACCGCTCCAATGGCACTCGACCACACGGTGTCCCAGTGTATAATTCCATCATCGAGAGTTAATATGTAATCACGAATTAAAGCACCGTTGAGGAGCAGTACGACTGCGAAAAGGAGGATGCGAAGTACAATCTCGATGGAGAAGAGGGCTTTTGAGGTGATTGTGGACCGTACGGAGGCATTGGAGGCGGTGAAGAGGGCCGTTGTTGGCGAGGGGCGCTGGGTGGATAGGCGAACGGGCATCGAGGAGGTTTACGAGGTTAGAGTGTTTATTTCTGGGGAACGGTAGATAGAGAACTATCATGGCTGGATTTGCTTGAGCTCGGGCTGGTGTCTCAAGTCACGTGCCAAAGCCAGCCAGGCTTCAATCTAACTTTCATAATCGACTGATGATAAACTGTCTTGCTCTCTATCTTGCTGATCCCCATGCACGTTTACGAGGTTTTTTTTTTCTTACTTGCAAGATCATCATCCACTTATTCAACCTCAGAACGCAAGTTTGTCATTACAGGCCACCCCTATTTCTCGTCTTGATAACGTTTCTCGGTCACCGTTTGCGGTTTGATAACATCTATTTCTTTCTTCTGCAAATATTTACACAAACTCTCAATATACGGCATGACACGTTCGTGCTCGAGGTCGCCATTGCCACGGCGGGAAGATAGAAGGCGAAGCAGATCCCCGCGACAGACACACGACCAAGACAGAGATCGAGATAGACCCAGACGCCGGGATCGCGGGTTTCGCTGGAAAGAGAAGCGTCACGCAGATGATGACAATCGGGCGGATGAAGCAAGGGGTTTAGAAAGGGGATACAGAGATACAGAAAGGGGGAAGGAAATAGGCAGAGACAGAGACAGAGAGCGCGCCAGATCACCTACTCGAGATGGGAGAGGAGATAGATACAGAGATTTCGATTCGGACAGTAATAGGAGAAGGCGCGGTGATTTCAGTGACTACAGTGATAGCAGAGGCCGTGCTCCTGCTAGTACCGTATCAGCGAGCGGTACAGGTGACAGACGCGGTGATCAGGATAGGAAGGAAAAGAAAGCAGAGAAACGGGAAAAAGACAAGAAAGCCGCAGCTAATGCAGCCCTGACAGAACCTATGATAATTGTCAATGTGAATGACAGGCTGGGCACGAAAGCAGCCATTCCGTGTCTTGCGTCAGATCCAATCCGTAAGCCTCGTTCCCCCATTTACTCTTCCGATTGGATCGTGGGTGTGGTTGGGAGGTGGGTTGGTGATACCAGTCGATTTCTCTCTCTTCACCAGTTTTTGTTTTAGCTAACACTTAGAAATCTTTTTTCATTCATTATTTTTTATTTATACAGGACTGTTTAAGGCTCAGGTTGCCGCACGCATCGGACGAGAACCCCACGAAATCCTTCTCAAACGACAAGGTGAAAGACCATTCAAGGACCAACTTACATTGGAGGACTACGGTGTGGGAAACGGAGTGCAGCTTGACTTGTAAGTTTATTTGACTTGTGTCACAGTGTTTGATTTTGATATTTGTCCCTCAAACACGTGGGACGGAGGTGATGCTTTGACTTGATGACGTATAACTGATCATGTGTGATAACAATAGGGAAGTGGACACAGGAGACAATTAATGAATTCATGATGGTTGCATTCTGTTCTGTGCAGCGCAAAGGTCCATTGTATATTAGACTATCCTCTCTGGACTCGTTTGTGTTGATCTTGGGGGAGACCTTAGTACCTGGAAATTCGCCCGAGTATGGTTTCGATAACAGAAAGGCCAAGCTGAAAGCCTGATGATTGATTTCCGCTATTGTTTGGGCCAAATATGACTTCTGTCTTTGATTTCGGGAGGCACGATGTTTACCACCCCGCCCTCCGCTACATGTGTCATGTTCCCATGTATCTACCCGGGGCCAGGATGTCTGCGTCTGAACGTGCCTACATAGGTTAGGTAACTTGATACACGATGGATAGAAACCAGAAATCAGAAGCCAGAACCCTGGGATACTCTGTTCAGCTAAATATGACCACGATCTATTTGGAACGAGGAAACTCTGCCTACCCGTTGTATCATCCGTCCTTGTTCGGTTCCGTTCGTCTTCAACAAGGCTTGCTATGGATAACACCGTATTGCAACTCCAACCTGTCGATTGTTTGCTATAGAACTGACGTATGTTTGTTCATCCTTTTGTTCCGCTATGACTCTTGTGTCTCTTGTATCTTTTCATTTGGTTAATTAAGTGAGGGGAAACTGGTGCTTACCTCAGCAGACCGCTGCGGGGACCTGCAAGATCCCGTGACCTCCAGACCTTCAACCCTTGCGGATTTTTTTTAAGATTTCAGTTTTGACTTTTTTGGCCTTTTGGTTTGTTTCTTGCTCTTGGTGTCATTGATTGAACCCAGCGACTTGCCTCTCCATCAAGCGTCTGGTTGGAGCAGGAGATCCACCCTGGCCTACTGAATCGAGCTACTTTTTGTTTCAGGGCCTCACGACTCCTCGAAATTTGTCCTCATCAGTGTGCTAAACTTCTCATCATGTCTTCATCCGGCTCCCGTTTCATGTCTGTCATGAATTAGCTGGTACTGTTTGCCTCCTGGCCCTGGTTTGCCCCAAAGATTGATCCCTCTCCAATTATTGGCTAGCAGAAAACTATCGGCTTAGCAACCATTGCCCCTTCTGCCCGACTCCCGACCTTCGATTCTTTTCGATCTCCCATTAATTAATCATATCCGCCCTACCACACCCTCTTTCGACGGGTAGCCCATAATATAATCGTTCCATCTAACATGGTTAGGAATATTATTGTGCTGGGAGGCTCATCCCACCCACACCTTAATAAGGCAATATGTGAGCATCTGGGCATTCCGCTGGCCAATGTGCTGTTGTCGAAATTCTCCGTCGGCGAGACTCGGGTGGAAATCAACGAGTCTGTACGTGGAAAGGATGTGTACATTATCCAGTCAGGTGGAGGCAAGGTCAACGACCACTTAATGGAGCTCCTAGTGATCATTTCTGCTTGCAAAACTGCTTCCGCGAAAAGAGTCACCGCCGTTCTGCCTCTGTTCCCTTACTCCCGTCAGAGTGATATCCCTTACAACAAGATTGGTGCTCCGCTTGTAAAGTCTTCCGTCCCCAAATCTGACATCGCTCCCAATTACACATTCGAGAGCACGCCGCCGACCCCACACGCTGGAAAATCCGAAAGCATTGGCCTGGTAAATGGCATCGACGGTTTACAAAAGGGCCTCACACAGATTCAAATTGAACAGCATGACATGTCTTCCAGCGGCAGTCCCCAGAAAGCCCGTTTTGGCCATTATGCTAACGGCCCGCAAAAAAACTGCGACACTACAGACTCCACCAAGTCAGATACTAGCAATCGAAACCGGAATCCTAACGCTATACCTCCTACTAACAGCATTGCGAGCAACGATGATATGGCGAGTGTGGCGTCGAATTCGTCTAAAATAAGCACTTTCCAACCACGTCCTGGATATCGACAATGGGTTGCCCAAGCGGGCACCCTCGTGGCGGACCTTCTCACCTGTGCTGGTGCGGATCACATTATCACTATGGATTTGCATGACCCCCAATACCAAGGGTTTTTTGATATCCCTGTTGATAACCTCTACGGTCGACCATTGTTGAAGAAATATATCACGGAGAATATCCCAAATTACAAGGCTAGCATTATTGTCAGTCCAGATGCGGGAGGAGCTAAACGGGCCACTGCTATAGCTGATTCCCTTGGGATGGATTTTGCGCTGATTCACAAGGTATATCATTATATCTATGTCAACATCATTTTCCCCCTTACCTCTTGGTCCTTTGCTCAAGAGATGATGTTGATAAAACTAACGATTCTATCTCTACTCGTTTCTAAACGAAAAGGAACGTCGCCCAACCAAAATCACAGATCGCCAGAACGCAACCATGATGCTAGTAGGTGATGTCAATGGCAGAACAGCTATCCTAATTGACGACCTTGCCGATACCTCCAATACTATTACGCGAGCTGCGAAACTGCTAAAGAAGGAAGGGGCCTCACGGGTATACGCCCTAGTTACACACGGAATCCTCAGCGGAGATGCTATCGAGCGAATCAACGCCAGCGCACTGGATAAAGTGGTCGTCACAAACACTGTGGCTCAAGACGAACACCGAACCCGTTGCCCAAAACTGGAAGTCTTAGAGGTTGGTCATGTTTTTGCTGAAGTACGTTTTGCTCTCTGCCCTTTAAGCCCCACACTTTACCTTTAGCGTTTGCGTTTGCAGGAACCTTTGTCTCATATGCCATAGGCTATACGTCGTGTCCATCACGGAGAAAGTATCAGTGTTCTCTTCCAATATGATTGACCCAACACCTTGTTATTCTTCTGCTGGGGTGTCATTCTCCATTCCGATTCCACTCTTCTACTCCCGGACAAGGACAAGGAAAACGAACCCTTTTTGTTAATCTTCCGCCCTGCACATATCAACATAATAATTGATCATTCATCGCAAGTACGATAAAGCTTAAAATGCACAAAAACAAGCCCAAAATCTATAATCTTAAATCAATGATCCGCTTACTCGGTTTTTAAAACTTGGAGCGTCAACCCAGAGGGAAAAGGGGAAGTTACTTTCAAGGCCGATTCTTGTCACGGGCATACATATATACATCAGTCTGGGAAAATAACATCTCTATCCCAACCCATTTTCCCCAAATAGCTCACAGCACTAGGGATTGATTCATCGATTAATTGATTAATGAGTCATCCCACTGGCTAATTCACTCATTGGCTCATCGATGCTGTTCTTTTGCAAACATACAATTTTTTTTTCTTGATCCCTTTTTCTTAATCCTTTCGTTTTCTCTTCCAGCCTTTTTACATCCAATCTAATTTTTTTTATTTATGTATTTTTTTTAAACCTATATTACCTACACTAGCACCGTTCATTAATAGAATGGAGAGGCAGCTTGTCTGGTGGTTTGAAATTCCTAATGCCAAGTGCTGGTTATCAGGAGTTGCGTCACCGTTTTTCGATCATTTTAGGTGTGAATGAATAGTGTTTTCTTCCTTTCCTATTTCCTACCCCTACGTACAGTCACACACGTTGATCGATTTACTCACAGGGTTCTATCTTATTTTTTATTTCTTACATTTCCTCCCTCTTGCTCCACTCGTTCTTTTGCCGAGCTTTCGTACCTCGCCTGTTCGCATTTTCGAGACGGAAGCATTGAATTAAAAATACTTACGATGCCGCTTCGGAACCATGCGTTACATCCTCAGCCATGACTTATACGATGCGTTCCAACTCTCAATGCAATTCATATCATTCATTAACTTTAAAATAAGCTTAATACCAGCGAAGGGTGGGGTAGGGGGGAAAAGTGGGGAACCATTGTGACACTCCGTCGTCGTATCCGGTAGGTTCTGCATGGGATCTAAATTAGAACAAGTGCAAGTTCAATTTGAGTTCGTTTTTGATCCTTGGCTTTTGTCTGCAATTAATTATTTTTACAAATTAAAGTACACCGTGATTTTCAGAGCAAAGCTTGGAGCTTTGACGCTATTGAGATGCAAGATTTGAGTTCGTATAAAATCACAAGAAAAGCAAGAATGTTTAGGGGAAAAAAATGAAAATTAATAAATAATTAAAAAGCAATAAAAATAATAATTTCAACCGTCAAGCTGCTGGAAAGCAACCTGATATCAGATAGCATACAGATTGTTGTTATATCGCCTACTGAAATGTTGATGCGATATAAGCCATTATCAAATATACTGGTAATGCAAAAGAAATCTAAATTGAATGAAAACTACCTTCTGTGATGATATTGCACAGTATAGTACATTTAATGCAGCTCCTTGTATCATGTGCTAAGTAGCGTTTTGTTTTCTGCATTGTTTGCAGTTTGGGAACATATGATGTAAAAAATATAGTAACACAGGTATATGTTTGGTTTTATTTAAAGGATTAATGAAACCCAGGAGGAAGTCATAATACATCGAAAGTGAGACTTATAATGATATTGACAAACATGTAACAGGACACGACAAAATCAGGAGGGGCCAGAAAAAAATAAAAAAGAAAACATTGACACTGACCATGATGACTATCGTTACAACTCATCTCGGCCTTTCTTCTTCTCCTTCTCCTTCTCCTTCTCCTTCTGCGATTCCTTTGGTGTCTCCTGTTGTTTGTCTTTGTTCTTCTCCTTCCCAGTCTTCTGCTTTGATTTCCCATCACCACCAGAGCGCCCGTTGTTATTTCTACCGCTGTCCCCACCAGAACCAGTCATCTTTGTCATAACTTTATTCAATTCCAGTTCCAACTCTCGAAGTTTTGCCTCAATTGCCGCCGTAGTTAGGATGGGGTCTTCGTACTGGCTCAGCTGCTCTTGAAGTGGGAGTTGCTTCTCGAGCCATGACATTACACTGGCCTGGGTGTTTGCAAGTGACGAGACGTCGATCCCCGCGAAAAGGGATGACTGGGTGGCTTTTGGAGATGGCGTGTTGGTTGTTGTTGTGTAGGTGGATTCGTCTTCAAGAGAGACGAAATCATCCGACGAGGACGGGGCAGGCGGTTCATTGGATGATGTAGAGGCTGCTGGTGAAGCTGATTCTGAGGCAGAGCGAATACTCTCCTGCGCATCTACTTCTTTTTGAATAGCATCTATAAAAGTCTTTGCGTTTCTAAGGACTTTCTGTAGCGCTTCTATTTTGGAGGGAAGAAGGGAGTATTCATTTTTCCGTTTCAGGGCGGGGTCAACATATTGCTTCAACCTTTCTAGTCTTGTTTTGATGTCCTTCATGGTTGCATCTGTTCCGTCTCCATATAACCACTCGTTTGCTTCTGCGAGAGTTTCCTTGAGCTTGGCGAGGTCATCTGCGGGTATCACTCTTAGGAAGGCCTCATCGTTGACGAGTTCCTGTGTTTGGTAAATGAATGCTTCAAGGTTATTGAATACTTCTTCACGCTTAAAACGAGCATAGTCGGAGACGTCGAATGAGGTAAGACGACCCTTTATGCGCGCCAGGTCGGTTTCTGAAGGTGGCTTTATGCCCAGGACAAAGGCGTTGAAGGCGATTGGTATGGTCTCAGTTTTTCCTTTGCTAACTTTAGAGGTTTCGATTTCTGGCTCCACAGCTGAACTTGCGGATGCAGATTTACCGGCAGAGGAAGAAGCCGTAGTAGTAGATGCAGAAGCAGCCGTTGAGGATTTAGAGCTCGGAGTGATGGACTCTTTGGCCGGGTCATCTTGAAGTGGTTGTTGATCATTCTTCTTAGAGCCCAAGCCAAAGAATTCTTTTACATCTTCAACCACACCCTTTTTCTCCTCGCTTATGCGCTGGCAGCTCACAATTGCAGACACAAGTTCAGGAATACCGTCGAGGGGTCTAAGTTGGATAGAAAGCTTCGTAGTGATATTTGCGGGAGCACAGCCGAATGTATTTTTGAGGGTGGCCACTGATTGAGTCAAGTTCGTCGTTTCGATGCCTACTAGAGGTGCGTCCACCAATTTGCCATTCTGCGTAAGCTGCTGATATAAACTGAAATCAAAGTCCTCCAAGTTTTTCATTGTCACCTGTTTTTCAGTCCCAATTGTTGACCAACCCGTGTGAAAAGATTTTGACGCATCTCC